GAAGTAACACAGAAAAAAGCAGAATGTGTGGTACTGTGGGGGAGAACATGACCAACAGGACGTGCTGTCTGGGAATTTCTTTGCAAGAAAATGTGATTCATGGAGTAGAAATACAAGGGCACCATAGCCAAGCACCGAGTGGAAATCTGAGTCTCAGCCTCTGGAGGGTATTTGGTTTAATCCCTTTGGTCTGGTGTGTGTTACAAATATCACATAAATAAAATGCATTCTTCAGAACAGCAAGAGATTGCTTGGCTGAGGTTTTCCCAGCATTCTATTTTTTAAAACTAACTTCACCCTTTTATTTTTAAAGAAAGTTTTTCCTGCTTATAAAGCACATTGGCTTTGTTTAGTAAGCAAAAAAAAAACCAAAAAATTTTCTTTTAGGGATTCTCTAGTAGGCAAGATTTTATATCACAAGTTAACTTTCTCAGGGAAAAACGTTTTTTGCTCTCCTGGTATTAATCACAAAAGTAGAATGCCATATGTAATCCAGATTTTTCCACATAACATGAGTAAGAGTTTTTCTTTTGCTTATTCAGAATTACAGTTGGCAAGGGTCATCTTCAGAATGCGAGGTTCACGGATTGACCTGCAGAGGGCGCTAAGATGCATAACGTGAAAAAAGTGAGCATCCCCTGTAAGTCTAGTTTTTAACAAGAAGAAGAGCATCTTGCTAAGAATGTAGTTTCTCCATGAAGAAAAAACATGAACTCTTTGTTTTTCACGTGTGAGTGTTGCCACGTGGTTATGGCCGTGTCTCGATGCCCCCCAAGGCTTTATGGGGTAACCGGTGGGGGAGGGTTCCGGGGGCGGCTGGTCTAGAGCGCGTGAGGCTGGGACTAAGGTGTGTGATTACCAAATCCGTCCGCTGATTGGTTTGGCAGAGGCCCAATCTCAGCAGTCCAGCTACAACACAAGAGGGGCGGAAAGATGCTGCGAAGGTCCCGTGCTGCTTTGCTACTCTCTGCCCACCGTGAACTGTCCCCTCGCCATGTGCCATCCCGCTTGGAGCCAGCCGATTATGCACCGAAACCGCCACAAAATGTGAGCTAAATAAACCTTTCCTTCCTCAACTTTGGGCGTCGGGTGTTTCGTCCCAGCAACGGGAAAAGTACCCGCGACACAGCGCGGTCTGCTCTCGTTCTCTGCCGCTGGCACATCCGGGCTGCACCCACCTGCCTCGAGCTGCCCGCGGCGCCTGTGGTCCGAGGCGGGGCTACGCTTCAGCTGCGAAGAGCCCGGCACTACGCCAGCCTGTGCATCGCCGCGCAGCACAGCCCTGGGACACAGACACTGCTCACCAGCAATTGAGGAGCAAACGCAAAGGGAGGAACAGGAGAGGTTATCCCTCAGGGACACAAAAGGAGATGTGCGCTTGTTCTTGGGAAGCGGCATGGCAACAAAGCCCTGTGAGATGGAATTAATGTGTAAAATATATTTACACATTTGTAATTTTGCTCCATTTATTAATTTGATAATATTTTTAAACAATAAATACCTATTTACTGGGGCTGGGGATTTAGCTCAGCGGCAAAAGCGCCTGCCTGGCAAGCGCAAGGTCGTGAGTTCGGTTCCCGGTACCGGAGAAAAACCAAAAAAAAAAAAAAAAAACCAAAAAAAAAAAAAAATACCTATTTACTGAGTACCTCGTCTTGCCAGGCATTCTTTTTTTTTTTTTTTTAGTTTTGGTTTTTCTCCGGTACCGGGAACCGAACTCACGACCTTGCACTTTCCAGGCAGGCGCTTTGCCGCTGAGCTAAATCCCCAGCCCTGGGCATTCTTTTTTTTTGGTTTTGGTTTTTCCCCGGTACCAGGAACCGAACTCACGACCTTGCGCTTGCCAGGCAGGTGCTTTGCCACCGAGCTAAATCCCCAGCCCCCCTGGGCATTCTTTTTAACTGCTTGGAATACACTATTGCCCTGTACTGCACCCTACTCGGCCGGCACCTACTCATGAAGTAGCGGGAGGGGAGGCACACAGGCCCTGACGGTGTGTGTGAGCCCGTGCACATGCGCGCTGCCTTCAGTGACTGTCCGTGGAGGCTTCTCTGAGGAGAGCCTTGGAAGAGGTGTGAGAAAGACCCACACAGGTATCTGGCAGCATCTTCCTGGCAGAGGGGCAATAGGAACTTTGGCTAGGACGTGGAAGAGGTGTGCAGAGTAAGCAAGAAGGCAATGCGACCACCCCTGGCGAGGCAAAGGGAAAGGATCAGTGACTACACATTTGTTTTCTAGACAGGGTCTCGCTATGCAGGTCAGGCTGGCCTGGAGCTGCCTTTGTAGCCCAGGCTGGTCTTGGACTCGCAATGATCCTCCTGCCTCAGCCTCCCGAGAGCTGGGATTACAGGCGTGCGCCACCATGCCCGGCTGAGGGAAAGGATCAATGAATTAGGAGAAATAACCAAGGCCAGGCTGCGTGCGGCTCTGAGGCACTGTAAGGGCGTATGTATCTTGGGAAGGTTCAGAGGACTGAAGCAAAAGTGGTGGCACGGCTGGACCGACTCTGTGGCATTCTAGCTGCTGCGCGGGGAGCAGGACAGACATGATGGAATGCAGATGCGATTTAGTCCCTATAGTGCCGGTCCTAGAGATGAGGGCAGAGCAGGTCTGGGCACATGAGTGGGGAGATGCCAAGGGCCAGCTTTTGGCATCAGATTTGAGACCCCTTGTGGACACCCATGGGGAGATACCACACAGCACATGGATACGAAAGTCAGAGGCGGGCTTGGGGCTGTCACATGAATTCGGGAACAGAGGCATACACCCATAAGGAAGTGCCTCTGGTACCCCTGCTTTTTTCTCCACCTCTCCACCGGATTTGAGCTTGGGCCCTCTGGGGCAGATGAACATCCTTGAGCCAAGAGTTGCCTTGGAACTGGTACTCCATCAGAGCCACAGCACAGGGCCAAGATGCCAGGCGTGCTTCCTGCCCTAGTGGGCAGGGCAAGTCCCTCTGCGGCCTTGGACTCAGGCTGCCCTGGCTAAACTGACAGTACACCAGCCCCCAGTCAGCTCTCGAAAGACAGGGACAATCACCACACACAACACTGAAGCGCGGCCACACGTCCATGGCCGGGCCCAAGGGTAGGGCCCAAGGATTTGCACGAGAAGAGCAAGTCTTGAGGCTGGACTCCCACCGTTCCTGCCGGGGCCTGTCTATTCCTGCAGTTCTGAGCCTGGAGTCACTGAAAGGACACGGTACGCTAGATGATAGAATGCACCTTAACACAGAGCTGCTCCTCTCACCTCCTATGAGCTCTCCACTTGGAGAGCTCTCTCTAGATCATGTGGCTTTCTTTGCTAGTCCAGGGCCTTGGAAGTCATCTGCGGCCTTTAGCCCAGCTCATGGATCTCTCCAGGATCTGGCCCTTGCCTCTCGCAGGGCAAGAATTCTCTGGAATTCTCTCCAGGTTCTGGCCCTCACCTCCGCTCCTGCTTGTCTGCTGCTGCTTTTGCACATGCACTCCATGTTCCAGGTGTTACTCACTTCCCCGGCAGGCTGTTGGGAAATGTTATTTTGTGTTGTGCCTCTTTCGGGTGACCCTTGTTTCATATGCACATAGAGAACTCTGGTACATTTCTTAAAGCCCAATTTCAAGATCTCCCTCCACTGTGAAGAATTCCCAAGTCCAGTCTAAGCAAAGATCTCTCCAGCATCCACACCAGCACCACCCTGAGTTTCTCCGCGGCCGAACTATCATGCCACATGGTACTCATTTCGGAAAAGTTCCTCTTTGTTGTTAGACTGCGGGCTTCTTTGGGAGAACAATCTGAGGGGTCATCACCCCTGTTCTGTGTCCCTAACCCAGGGCCAAGTACTTAGAAGACACTTAGTACATTTGCTAAATGTAGGGGAGGAGCGGGTTAGAGCTCAAACGGTCAGAACGATGTTGGTCCCTCTACGAATGAAGCCAGCAGTCCCTGAAACGATACTGAGACACCCAGAAGATTATCTCTGGGAAATTATGCTGAGTGAAAACACCAATCACAAAAGTTTGTGTACTGTATAATTCCGTCTATATAGCATTCTTGACATTCAAAATTATAGACATGGAGAACAAATGAGTGGCTGGCAAAGGCTGAGGCGGAGATGGGGCAGCAGGGCCGTGGGTGTGGCCGTAAAGAGCCACTCCCATGAGCGGCTTTGTGGTGATGGAAGTTTTCTGTACCGTGACTGGGCCAGACTCAGGAGGCTGGTTGTGACACTCGTACAAGGGTTTTGCATACGCTAACATGGGGGAAGACGGAATGATGGGCCCAGGGGGTTTCTGTGGATTATTTTAATTCACAATTACCTCAGAATAAAAAGTTAACTGATAAAGAAAAAGAGGAAAATTTCATGGTGACCTCCCCAAGGTCAGTGAGATCAATGCTAGAGGGCTCAAAGACATTGCACTGGCCAGAAACGTGTATTAAGCTGAAACACCATCAGGCTACTAGGAACTCTATTTTCCCAAATAATAAAGAATTTGTGTACCTCTCTTATTAGGAGACTTTCTGTAAGCTTTCCAAGTTTCCTGGTCTTCGGCATGGAGACCAGGCTTAGCTTTGACCAACCTACTGTGGTCGCCCTCCACAGGACCCCTGGAGGGCGCAGGCATAGTTTCTTGTGGAAGTTACTACAACTAGATATCCTGGATGTGTGTAGAATCTACCTGAAAGGTGGACGTCTCACACTGCGTACGGGGCTGACGTAACCCTGCTGACCTTTGGTGATCTTAATCTTGTGAGACTGTAGCAAACAACAAAAGGTGTTTATTCACAGTCAGAATGGATGGCTAGCAAAACGGAAGGAATACCCACCGCCCTGAGATGCGTCCTTCTTACCCGCAGAGAAGCCTTGAAACACTGGCCCTTCCATCCAGATTCCTGTGCGTGTGTGTGAATATGCCATGTAGGAGGTCAATAGAAAAGGAGGGTTTGTTTGGTACAAGTGCTCAGGGGCTCCGCCGGTGTGGGAGCTTTTGACTGGGATCATGGGATGGTCCAGGACCCACCTGAATCAGAAGAGCTGCGATTTCTGGGCTGCCGTGCCGCAGGTCATGTCCATTGATGGCCAGTACACGATCATTCTCTTGCAACTGGCCATGCCGGTCCGCCACGCCTCCACTTAGCAAACTAAAGACGAATACGCCAGGCTCGTCCACCTTGCGCACCAGTTTTATTCCAAGCTGCTCCTCGGGACTACTTTTGTTGAGTATCACCTGGAAACTGTCATTCCGAGGTCCATAAAAGTAAAAGGAACGGCCGTTTCTCCTGCTTGGGAACTTCTGTTCACGTAGCACCGTGAGCCACAGCACCTGGCAGGGCTGTCGCAGGAGGTTCAGGGCATAGTTGTGAGGGACATTGCTGATGTCCATCCCATTGACCTGGGGGAAGCAGAGTCATTATGCAGTCAGCTCCACCTGCTGCGACCCTTCCTCAAAGGCCCTGGCTGGCACTCACAGGACCTGGGGCTCCTCCCCAGCACCACAAGAATAAATAAAAGGCTCAGGGTCACAGAGCAACTGTGACACTTTCCCCGTAAGGACTGCTCTGCTCTCTCCCTTTATCCTGTGTCCAAATATGCCCCATCCCAACCACACTTTTCAAACCTCTACAAGGAGACATGGCTGTTCTTCAACCTTGTCCTTCCACAGGTCCTCACACTCAAGTGTGGAATCCTCACCTTCATTTTTATTGTCTGCCAAGTTTATTTTTTTAATAAACAGGAAGGCGAGGAAGGAAAAATGTCGGAGGTCAACAGAAAAGGAGGATTTCCATTTACTGCAATCAAATGCTCACATGATTATAAACGCTTTTTTTTTTATGCTGTTGGGAATGGAACCCAGGGCCTCATGCATGCTAAGCATATGCTCTGCCACTAAGCTATACCCCTCACCCCAAATGATCACATTAAATGGCCATTCAAGCCAGCGTGAGTTGACGTTTTCTTTCCAAAAATCATCAACTGAGTTTCACTCCGTCACCCACACTGGAACTTCTAGTTCCAACCACTGTGTGTGTGTATCTATGGGGGGTGATGTACACGCCTGAATATATGTGTGCATGCACGTGCTGCACATGTACTAGAGAACACGTGTGAGAGAGTGTGCCTGTGTGTACATGAGTGTGTTGGAGAATGTATGAGTGTGTTTGTGATAGAGTAAGAAGTATCTCTATGTGAGGGGGACTATGTGCCTGGCTGTGTATGTGTGAGCATGTTTCCAAGTGCGTGCATAACAGAGTGAAAGCGTGACAGAGTGTGTGTGTGTGTGTGTGTGTGTGCGTGTGTGTGTGAATATGCCAGATATCAAGAAGGTCTTTTGCAAGGTTTTTGCTTGTTTCTATTAAAAGGAGAAACAGATACTTCCACAATTTCAAATACAGCCCTGCAGAAGGGAATTTCTAGGCTCTCTGACTGAAAGGCTAGATCACTTTTTAATGCTACTTAAATATCCTTAAATTGGGCCCCCTTGCTTGTGCCTCCCTAATAACTTATGGGGCTGATACTACGTTGGGCTTTCAGGCTTTAATTACTCCAGCTACACAGGCTGAGCGGGGAGGCTTCAGCCGCCAGCACTAGCCACTGTTGTGGAAGAAAAGAATTCACAGCAGCTCTGTGCTCGTGCTTTGGGGGAGGGGGCACCCCACAGGATAACAACCTTCTGCAGTTTCTTTAGCTTGGTAAGAGTTCTTGTACTTGCAACCCATTGTACTTCCAACCCTTGGAGTGAGCTTTAAAAGGCCTTCCTCCGTGAACAGTCCCCAGTTCCTTGCTGTGCTGGGGTGGGGGGTGGCGGTGGGGGGTGGGGTGGGGTTGCTCCTGCAAAGGCGAGGCTCCCCGCCTCTTCTGTGCAAGCACAGGGGAGCAGTGTGTTGGGGGTGGCAGGGCCTGCTTCCCCCATCATCCCAGGCCAAGAGCAGGTCCGGATTCCCTACTTAAGCGTGCTGGCAGCCCTCTGCCTGCAGTAGCCAGCTGAAGTCCACAGGAACCAAAATGCTTGGTTTTGCAACCCTCCCAGGCAGCACAGTTCCTAGGAGAACAGAGGGGAGGCCGTGCGGTGTTGCTGACTGCACTCCTGGTGCCCCTGAGGCTGAGGGGCCCTGCCTGTCCTCCAGCTCAGAGACCAGGGAGAATTTCAGCGTTTCTATGGAAACTGCTTTACATTACTGCCCCTCTTATTACAGTTAGTCTGCCAAACAGCTCGTGATGTGACAGGAACTGGTTCCTCAGCAGCCTAGAAGGATGGGATGAAACCATTATCTAAGTATCAGATAGGAAATATACGAGCAGAGAGGGAGTTTGTGTCACTTTTGGCACAGGTTTGACTTCTGTCTGATGAACAACTTTTCCTTTATCCCTTCTCCTCCTCTGATTCCTTCTTAAAGTCCCTCCCCTCAGCCAAGCCTCAGACAGCAGTATACCCACGGCGGTTTATCCCACTGCTGGTCTCCCTGGAGTGCCTCTGGGTTGGTTGAGGAGCTTAGGGTCTGCTTTTGTTTCCATGGAGGGCCATTAAACCATAGGAAATTTACTTTAGAGGGGCATCTGAATGTGATTAAATAAAATATAGATTGCTCCACTAATCTGCTCTAAAAACAATCTAAGAAAATATATGCTCCACTCTTGTGTTATTTTATACTAATGCTACCTGAAGAAGAAAGAAAAGCAGCAGCAAAAAGAGAAGGAGGGGGACAAAGAGGAGGCGGAAGAAAGGCCGATGGGTGAAGGAAGAGCGGAGAGGAGGAAACAGACAAAAGACGCAGAGACAGAAAGACATATTTATACCCAGAAAGGAGGAGAGCGTGAGAGCAAAAGACCTATCTTATTAAATGATAATCTCACATGAAGAGTTCTAACAACATAACTATGCAAGTCACTGTCCATATATATTTTACTATCATCCATCCATCCATCCATCCATCCACCCACCCCTAAAGGATTCTGCTTTAAAACCAAGAGCCCTACCCCAGCCCTGCAGCGCAGGCTCTACCTTGAGAATGACGTCTCCTGCCAGCAGCCGGCCGTCTCTGGCGATCACCCCGTCACTGTAAATGTGCTGGATAATGATGTGGCCAAGTGGGGTTTCACTGCCTCCCACGAGCCTAATGGAGAGGCTCTCGCTGGGGTCTGCTCGGTTGATCTTGATGCTGGTAACTTCCCCGCGTGGAATCAGGTGATAAAACTTTGGAAAGACTCAAATGGACAAAGACAGTGTTTATTTAAGACACCCACCCAACAGGCATTTCCAGTCCCTCTTCTTGCCAAGCTACGCCAGTCCTTGTCCCTTCTGTGTGTTTTCCATTTTTCCTGCCTTGGTGCCAGGGTACGTTTCTCTGCTGGAATGTTTTTTATCTTGGGCCTAAACCCAATTTTTTCTTCAAGGCCTGCATGAAACGATCGCTTCCAGTTAAACTCTGCCCTGGTCGCTTTCCCCTGCTCTCTAAACACACCGTTCCCTACAAGGCGCCCTCTGTTTCTCGGGGTGCTAGACCGCTATTACTGTGAGTCACACTCCTTCCCTGCACCCTGGGGTCGCAAACCCCGGAGGCCTCTGTCCCGGCTGCTCCAGGTCCTCTGCACAGACCGCCACCCCGCCCCTCCACAGCAGCCTTCAGATGAAGCTTCCTTAGCGAAAAGGTACGAACGGGTGTCTTTTCAGAATGAATTGCAACTTTATCACTTGCTTATCAAGGGACAAAGCCAGAACAGTCCCGCTCTTCTGCCCTCACAGATCACTCTGGCGATGTTTTTCTTGAAGGGCCCTGCTTTTCAGGCTGGGAGGTCCTTAGTCCTCTCTAGCAGTACAAGGGAGGCAAATGACCCAACTCATATTCAAGACGAGGCCAGGGCCTTGGAGGTGGCTTCTGGAGCTTTGTCCCTCATCTGCCTGAGCCACTAACTTTAGAAATAGACAGCAAAGGCCATGTACGTTGGTGTTTTCAAACTTTGTTTTTTTGACTGAAGGATGTCTTTTTTCACTTTAAGAGTTCCCTCCTATTTCTCATCCGCTGTGATAAGGTAGAGAGGAACAGCTGAGCTGATTCTGGGCGGAGTGACAGAGTCGGCCTCTGTGGAGGAGCGCCTGAGGGCACAGTGCAGAAGTGAACTCACTAGCTGCGGGCTGCAAAGTGAGGAGGCACTCTAAGCTGGGTCAGAAGCCAGGCCCCAAGACAGGGAGACTGGCTGCCTCTCCTGGAGCTGGGTATCCACATCTGGAGAGGAGTCCTCCAGGGACTTCCTTATGGATGTCCTTCCTTCCTTATGTAAGCCAGCAGAGGAACTGGCTCTGTTTCTTCACTTTAGTTTGAACAGAAGTGTTCAGAGGGGACCTCCACAAGCACTGAGACCACGCCACATCTAGTCTCAGGGGAAGTGGCTCTTCTGAGTCGCCGGAGGCTCAAGCGAGGGTGTGGAGGGCTCTTTCTGTCTCCGGTAGCGATGACAGCGGCCTTTGCCCTAAGAGTCTCCTTGGATGCTGTCATCTGGGAAGACGTAACCCTGTGGGCCTTACTTCTAGATAATGCACTCTTTGTGACTACTTCCAAAGCCTACGACCTCAGCCCATTTTTTCCTAATGACCTCAGCTCTCGAGGAACAATATAGGAAAAAACTAAGTTGCTTCTAAACACTGAAGAGCATGATTAACAAGGTAATTTAGCGGCCAGAGGAAGCTGGAGACATCGTAAATATGCGTCCTTAAACTCCATGCAGATTTAACTGCAATGACTGGCTGAGGGAAATACAACACTTAGGGTCTGTGATAAGCTCAGAATAGTTACAGCATGGTGTGTGTGTGTGTGTGTGTGTGTGTGTGTGTGTGTACAGGGCAGAGGTGATCATAAATAAACAAGAAGGAGCCTTCTCTGACCACTCACGAATTTTCTGAGGCATAACAAATACAACAGTTGGAGTTCTACCTCCCCACCCACAATAGTGGGGGGAAGTATAGCCTGGTAGTTAAGAGAGTGGTCTCTGAAGCTGGAGGATCTGAGTTAAAATGCTACTTCTTCCAATTTGTAGCTGGGTGACTTTGGGTTGGTTACCTACTCACTCTGGGTCTCAAGTGTCCTCGTGTGAAACCAGGATGATGGTCCTTATCTGCTCGCATGGTTACATCTAAATGACTTAAAAGGGCCTTGCACACAGCAAGAGCTTATCATTTAAACCTATTTTTGTTACTATTCGGAAATTCTCATATAAAATGAAATGAGTAAGGCAGTACTTCAACAGCTCCATTTATACTGGGGGAAAACATAGGACCTAAGATCCAGCAGCTTGCTCTGCATAGATCACAGGTGATCACACATGATCTGATTCCAAATAGAGCAAGATAATTTGGAACAAGCAAAGTAATCTCCCATGCCTCAGTTTCCTCATCTGAAAACAGCGATAATAATGGTGACTACTTCTTAGGGTTATGTTGAGGCGTAACTGAGGAAATGTGTGTAAATCACACAGTACCACCCCTCATGCACAGTTGTAACAGAGCAAGTTCTGTTATATCACTTACTGTGTGCAAATACTAGCTTAAAAGCTGTTCACTCTATTATTATTTATGTGCATTAAGCTAGCCCCTGAAGGTAAGGGTTTTAGGAATTTTTCTCTCATTTGTGTAAATAGAGAACAACAGTCTCTTCCCTCCTTCACCTACAAGAGAAGTAGGCCACCAAGGTGAGAACATTTTATACTCTTAGGGAGAGTGAGGTCACTGCAGGTGGGTGGTGGTCACCCTGTCCTCAGCCCCGACGCCCCTCTGGAGGCCCAGCTCTTGTCCAGCCTTGTGGGGAGTTCACTTACCTTCAGGGACAGTCGAATTTTCATGGTTTTCTCGGCTCTGGTCAGCACGGTTGGCAATTATGCTCCCACTCTTTGTCCTTCGAAGAACACTCAAGGCTCGATTAATTTTTTTAAATGATCTGCTTCTGATAGAGGATCGCTCAAAAGGCCATGCTGAGGAAGAGAGACAGAGGAACAGTACCAGTCGTCATCTTTTATGTACACATGAGATAAAACATTTACGCTAAAACATGAACAGTGATCATATCTGGATGGAGGGATTACAGAATGTGCTTACCTGTATTTTCTAAGTTTTCTACAATGAAATATATTCAGCTTGTTTAAAAATCTCCTGCTTTCCCCCTGGGCTACACTGGATATAACAGTACTTTTCTTGAGCAGGCAGGAGCCATAAATTACTAGGGCTCACTTCAACTCCTTTCACCAAGTCAGATTATACCGTTTTAATGACCTGAGGTACTTGTGGTTTCATTTCACTTTGGAGAACTGGACATTGAGCTGCTGCCAAAATTACCAGAAACATTTCCCTTTAAAAAAACATTTCTAGAACTTTCCACAGTGAGTGTTCCTCAGAGTGCAATCCCAAGGAAGGCCAAGAGCCCCTTCCCAGGCACCCACCCATCTGACTCACCTCTGGTTCGGTTGCTCCGGCCAGCGTCCGAGGGGCTGTTTTCTGGCTGACAGCTCTCCACTGTGGACACGTAGGAAGGGTTGTCTCGGCCACGCTCATTGGTCACCAAAGAGATGGTGGCAGCTTCTGAAACCTCTGGGGAGAGCGGGGTGGCCGTGAGACTTGCACAGCCGTCAGAGCAGCCATCTTGGGAGCGCCTCTTCCTGTCCTTGGTCAGGCCGTAGTGGGAAGCGCCTTTACAGCTGGAACAGAACACAGGACGTCAGAGAGCCTAGTGCTCACTGCAAGTGTTCAGTGAGGGCTCTTCAAATACATATCCCTGTCTCAAGTCCCTCTTCTATTCCACATGTAGGTACTCAATATATACGTGCCCAAATCAAGTGATTTTAAGACTTAAGTACATAGTTGTTTTTCGTTTGTTTGTTTGTTTTGAGACAGGGTCTCCCTAGGTAGCTCAGGCTGGCCTTGAACTCACAGGAATCCTCTTGCCTCAGCTTCCCGAGTGCTGGAATTACAGGCGTGCACCACCACACCCAGGCAAGTGCACAGATTTTTACTTTATTTTATTTTTTTTTTATTTTAAAGAATAAAAGAAGGATAACATAATAATAGGGGGGACTTAGCAAATTACAGACAAAATGGTAGGAAATTATCAATGGTTATCATTTTACATATTATTGTCTACAAAATAGTTTCTCAGGAAAACAAATAGACAAATAATAGTGAGTTACAGACAAAAGAG